CCGATTCATCTTTGTATATTGTATAGTTCTTCTTTCTTTTCGTATACATGATTCATTCTCCCTAAATAGAATAAATTTGTTATTGTAATATTACGGACCAATTAGGATGTGGGTGTTCATAAATAGAAAACTCTTACCTATGCCTTTCTCTTGATAATAAAGCAAAAAATTTGGTAGAGCTTGATGCTTTGCAATGGTGAAAATAATTCACTTTATCTTAAGAAAAATCTTTATCTTTTACTATATGATCTTTGTCCGAAATACTTGTCAGTGCCAGCTACATAAGGTCTTATTGAAAGAATATTTTCTTAAAGCGACTTTGTAATGCGTCCATATTGCCAATCGTTAACCCCAAAAACAATATAAACACTTGAATTCTACAATGTCTCGTTCTCAAAATTGATCGGTTATTTCTGAGACTATTTATCAAAGATTCTCTAGTGAAGTCGTGGGCAACTTACTTTTACGTATTCATACTCGAGAAAGTTCGTGCTTGGTCAGCTCTGGATTATGTATTGATTAAGAATTTCAAAACTCTTCTTTTAGCCAGTGAGAAAACTATCTATAAGAAAACGTTTGCGAATGTCTAAGAGTTTGTTAATGTAAAGTACAACAAATATTCAAATTGAATAATCTATTCTATTTTAATAGATTATTGAAAGGTTTACAATTTTCATTTCTTTGTCGAATGGGTTATAAAGATGCTATTGAACGAGCAAGTGCATTATTTAAATCAATACCTGTTGAATATTTTAATGGTAGTAATGTTGATATCCAGTAATGATAAAAATTTTGAAAAGAAAAATTATTTTTTAGTTAAATTTTATTTTTAGAATTGGTTCAGATTTCTTATCAACAGTTTATATATGCCATTTAAAGAATGATGATAATGAAACTGATTGGAACATGATGTATAATTATTACAAAACTGCAGTAGCACCACAAGAACAAACGCGTGCTTTAGTTGCTATTAGTTCAACTAATAATAAAGAACGTTTAATTCGGTAAAAACTGATAGTACATTCCTAGTAGAATTAAAATGTGAAACAGCATGTAGTTATTGCTGCTAATTACAGCAAGGTTATTTTATTTTATCTATTTTGAGACATATTTCATCATTATCTTTTTACTTAATCCTTTAGATATGAAATAACGATGTAGTTTATATATTATCACGAGATGCTATTCCTATATGGTTTGTGATTGGAGATGTGCAGGACTAATTTTGGTCTCAATCCTAGTCATCGAGATTTGAATTATCTGAAAGAGAAATTGCTGAGACTAGGACTTAACATATGAGAAAAAGGTGTTCTAATCTGAATTGAACATTGTAGTTAAAGACTTTAACGTTTTAAGCGATTTATCTTATAGATCATCAATCAGAGCTTAATTAAAGAGAGATGACCCCAAAAAGTACTAGTCTTCGACTGAATAAATAAAAAACCGAGTATCAAAGAATTTTTTTGGATGACATACGAATTAACTCTAGAACACATTTCTCTAGATCAATTAGGACTGGTAATATGGTCGGAACCTGAACCAAAAAAGTGATCGCGCAAATCTTTATCTGTGATCGTTTTATCAACATCTGACACGAAAAACTGAGGATATGGCTAAGACATCTGTCAAGATTAGAGCTCCTCGAGTTCAAGTTTTCATCCTTATACTTCAATGCTCTTTTTACATCGTGTTTCACAAAAATTTTCGAATAAGCGTATATTTTTATTTATTTATATAGATTACTCAATGAAGGCTTAGAAAGTGGACCGAAAAAAATCAAAAGACAAGATTTTTTTGCTATGATTGCTTATATGAGTCGTCATCCAACTGGACGTGAAGTAGCATGGACATTTTATAAAAAAAAATTTCAAAAACTTGTTAATATGTCAGTAGTCAAAGAAGTATATACATATATAAAAAGGACTGTTTTTCTTCTTCAGTTTTACACTAGAAAATCGTCGATTGGGTATAACTATTAATTCAATTGCACGTTCATTTCAAAATGAGTCGTATCTTGAAGAAGTAAAATATTTACTTTGAGAAAAAAAATACACATTTTTAATATTTATTTATCATTTTAGATGAATCAATTATTTTCAGATTATCCGAATGCAGGTGCTGGAGCATCCGCACGTAAACAAGCCGTTGATCAAGTAAATATGAATATTCATTGGGTCAGATCAAGAGAACAAAGTCTACTTAATGCACTTGAAACATTATCTCGATCATAATTATTTAACCGTTTTCTATATCATTAGTTTTTACATAGTTTTTATGTGGTGCTGTTTATATATATATAATATAATGGAGTGTAATAAACATGTAATAATATGGCTTTGTTTTTAATTTTGAATAAAGAACTTTTTTCTTTGGATTGAATAATATTTTAATAGCATATTTTTCTGTCGAGAATATCCGTATAATTATTGATATGGGGTGTGGGCGTGTCACAATAAATCAGACTAATTTTATATGCAAATTCTCTATCATTTAGTGTTCATATAGCAAAAGATGGAGAATTTCAAACTCTACAAAACTGTTTATTTCACTTTTGCAAAACACTTTTTTAAATTTCGAAACAACTAACACACCGTGGTGCACTACATATTAATAGTGTAGAACTAAAAACAAACGAAAAAAAGAGTGATATCACTATTGAGAAATTCACTAAGTTTCTAGAAAACATGAAAATATTCTCGATGGAATCGTTTATCTTTCTAATATTTAAACACTATTGTGCCTGCAATAAATTCAGAACACAATAAAAGAAAAAAAAACGTAGTTTGACATTTACTTTAGGGCCTACTTAGTTTTTCATGACCGTTAGCGAAAACATGTTGCACTGCGATTCACCAGCCAGATATTTTTTAAGAGAACGAAATTCTACATTTTTTTAGTGTCTGAATAAGAACTTTGTAATTAAAGTCCAACTCAAAACAAAACTTCATTGCTTACAAAAACTTCCTGAAACCATCACGAAGAATATTTTCAAGAGTTTTTCAACTTCCCAGTAAAGCTTGAACATTTGAAAGTAGATCAACCAAATAAAGGAAAAATTCTCTATCTTCTGTTATGAAATCTTTTGCTTTCGAACTGCTTTAAAATTTTGAAAAGCATAAAACAACGATGCGTTGTAGTGGGAATATACAAGGTATATAAATGTTTGAATTATCATGCAATAGTAAAATGTTCCTTGAGAAAGGGAAGTTCTTAACTTTTTAAAGCTGGAAACTTTCTATCTTTTAGAATATGAATGAATATTTTGTATGAATTTTTCATGCAAGGAAAATAGTATTTTCACAAAGAAAAAAGTTTCTTTCGTATTTTCATTAGACGAAAATTCTCAACGTTTTGTTTTTTTTTTTGATTAAAAATTCTAAATAGTAATTAATAAAATTATATTTTTCTTAGAGCAAATGAAACTGATGCCGCATATTAATCTAATCCATTATAATCTATGTATTCAATGCAGTGGATTAAGAGTTTTTACATTTTTTTATATTATTCTCTGAGAATGTTTAACATTTCGAATATTTGATATTAATTACAACCCAAGCAGACAAACATTTTCAAAAACGCGTTTAAACGCATAAGAAAGGGCTTAAAATCCATAAAAAGTGGACGTGTTTGGCTCACAATCGCAGTTCCCGACTGTCAGCGAAAAACGACCACTTTTTGTCCTTTTTGTGCGTTTAAACGCGTTTTCGGCAAAAAAACGGTGATAAACGCGTGTAAACGCATAAGACGATCATAAAAAGTTGTCATCTTTTTCATGCTCATAAATCACAATCATAATTACAATCACAGTTCACGAAAAGGAAAAAGATAACTACTTTTTATGTTCTTTTTATGCGTTTATACGAGTTTACAAGCGTGTTGTTACTGAAAACACGTTTAAACGCACAAAAAGGACAAAAAGTGGTCGTTTTTCGCTGACAGTCGGGAACCGCGATTGTGAGCTAAACACGTCCACTTTTTATGGATTTTAAGCCCTTTTTTATGCCTTTAAACGCGTTTTTGAAAATGTTTGTCTGCTTGGGAACTAGTCATTACATTTATTCGATAAATAATAAAAACAAAAAGATTATGAAATTAATTGAACAAAGAAAATATCAAAATTAAGCTTATATTTCAATTTCAATTTTTCAATTCAGTATTCTTAATATCTATGAAAATTCTAAGGAAACAAATTGTGATGATTGTCATGAACTAATTATCGCCGAGTG